TTACATATGTATAATTGTAATCGTAATTATTATGCTATATGTGACAATGTGGTTGAATGCTATGTGAAAGTCATATGCTATGTGACTAATTAAGATGTTATGTGAGAGCTTATATGTCTTCAAACATGTTATATGTGATGCAAATGTATAGATTGCATATATGGCTTGTCTATGTTGCTTTCATTGGAATTATATAAATTGAGTTATTTTAAATTTTGAGAAGAGCATGTTAGCATGATATTTATCCACATAGCATTGACATCATTTCATAGTCATTGATGTGGTTGTATGAGGAGGCATATGGGTGGGAATGTGAGGTGGTAGAATGTGGATTTTGAAAAGTTGAAAATTGTGGATTTGACTAGTTCGGAAAAAGGTTTTTCTCAAAAAAACTTGGTAGTCATGGAGTCACCCCTATGCCGACGGTGTTAATTGGTTAATAGGGACACATGAAGTACCTATGAGTAATTTAGCGAACTCAGACCCCAAATGATAGTTGGGAGTTACCCTTTGCCATGGATGACTAACAAATTCTCCCTAGGGACAGTGGAGGTAACAAAGTCTGACTAATTGGCATGTTTTTGAGGTGTGTGTGTGTATGTGGGTGTGGAAGAGAGTGTGTGATATGGTTGCATTGAGCATTCATGCATTGTATTGCATTTAAATGATGATTATGATGTTACTTGATGATGATGTGGTGTGTGTAATTCCTTGCATGACTTATTCTCTATTTCCTATTCATTGTATGTAAGGCATGTTATTATTTACCTTATTTGATGAGATGCAACTTAGGCAATCTCTACTGAGCCTTGTGATCATTCTTCTACATTTTTTAGGTCACGGGAAATAAGTGATGGATGGCGTTTCCCCACAAGCTTAGGTGGGCAAATGAGATTGTTTTTTGACATCCTTTGTATCTAAATTCCCTTTTCGTAAAGTCATGGTAAATGTTATGTAATGGCCTTAAGGATTGTGACCTTGTAAATATAACCTTATTCTTTCGAGCATTTTAAGCATGTTTTTGGGACATGTATATGACGAAATGGATTTCTATGGTTTAGATGTAAAGTATGGATGATGAATGAATGAATTCAAGTTCTTTTTGTGTCATTGTGTAGTTGATTTTATATATTAGAATGTCATGTATATTTTGGTCATTTGTGAATGTTCTTCGGACAGATTTATGCCAAACTTAGGCTCACATATAAGCCCGGTTGTGTTTGGGGCCTTAGGCACCAAAAACCTACACATTTTTTAGTACCAGGCCTGTCGGCCGACTGGTGATATGAGCCAGCCGACCGACAGTGCATTTCGATTATAGACAGAGATTTGGGTTCTCAGGTTCATCGTTTTGGCTGGCTGACCAACACTGTCAGCTAACTGACCCTCCTATTTCGGCCGGCCAACGAGGGCTGTCAGGCGACCGACGCAGCCCAGTCCATTTACCCTTATAATACTATTTAGTCATTGATGCCATAGTACACTACAAAGCATTGTATGACGTAGTAATTGTAATTCAACATTAGAAATAACCGTAATGCCCTTAGATGACATCGGGTTCGGGTAAGGACCCGGATAATGATCCGGACCCCCGTGTTTGGGTCGTTTCACTTTAAATTTCTCAATTTCACTTTTTATTGAGATTAATGGTTTGTTCTTACGAAACGCGGGAAGTAAAAAGCCCAGACCCGTGGGAAGTTTAATTTTCCTTTTGTGTTTTGATTTATCATATTTATCAAATAGAAATGTTCAAAATTTATTCTTTGCTTTTGCTATACTTTCTTACCCAACAAACGTAGTTCTTATTTATTTGGAAGCGTAGATTCTACTTCCTGAGGCAGTGCTAAATACTTCTACTTCCTCGGGCATAATAATATAGTAGATGATATTGTGGAGCGGTTAGTGCTAAATACTTCTACTTCCTTTAGTAGTGATAAATTCAAGGAAGAAAATTTTCTCTCTAAGAAGACTTTAACTCACGCCGATGTTAATGATAAGCAGAGGCTTACCATTTTGCGGAAAAGTGCATTAGCCCATTTTTTTTTTTTTTTTTTTATCAAAAGACGATTTAATAAGATGCTAACGATTATTGACAAATAAGAAAACACATGGGAGATGCAACTTAAACAACATGAGAAAGGTAGGCATCCAAACGCGAAACGTTCATTGGGAAAGTTTGTGGCCAAGCACAAAGTTGAAGAAAGGAAATTCCTGTTCGCTTTTACAGGAGGGACCAACACTAAGCCCCAAGAAAACAAGTAGCTAAGTGCATCCATATGGACAGATGAAAACATACAAGAAATTATTACATGGTCCCGGGACCATTGGTACCGAGTCAATCACCATTGGACATATAGGCAATTGTGTCAGAAATGTATAAGTTTTATTCAAATTTTTTTACCTACATGTCTAGTGATGATTGGTCGGAACCATTTAAAAATTTCTCAATAGTCAACACATAGAGTTACTACAATCCATTGGACTAATGTGGCTAACTAATAAAGTAACCGGCCCAACCAAACAAAATGATGTTGACTATTATTATAATTATTATTTGGCCTGAGATTCAACTTTAAACTTTAAAGGTTGCAGGGCCAGGGCTAAACAAAGTAAAAACAATTTTTTTTAAGCCATTGGCTTGCCACAATGTTCGCACCTTGTGATGAGCCTTTGAATAACAATTGTGTGGGACTTGCCGTGTGTCATGGCCCACACCAATGACATTCATATTCGGACTCGTCACGCATGCAACATATCTGATGATTGGTCTTATAGAGTGTAAGAAAAGTAGAGGATAAGCTGAGCAGACCGTACCCAGGACAAGAAAAAACTGAGGAAGTAGAACTAGTCACATGGTAAGACTTAAGAGTGTCATGCTGATAAAATAATGCTAAGGATGGCAATATGTGATGGTGGTAGGGGTGCAACTTGGGTGGGCCCCAACCCAAAAATTTTGAAACTTGGGTTATGAAATTCACAAATTGGGCTCAAATCGGGTTGGGTTTTCAAAACCCAACAATGTTTTGGATTTGGCTCGAGTTGAAACCCTTTTTTTATATTTTAAAACTTTCAAATCTGAATTTTTTTTTTTTAAATCCAAATTAAATTTATTACCAAGTCAAAGAGGTCCCAGGAATGTATGGCCTTCTTGGCTTCCAAGAGGCTGCATCTTGTTGTCTTTTAGTTTCTGATATATATTTTACAAATCATAGTATGAATGAAAATTATCAGAGAACCATTTTTTTTTTTTTCGAAAACCATTTTAACTCCTGTACAATTCTGAAACAAAAATTTATTTCTTTTGTGTTCCGCATAAAAGTTCAGGTGATAAATAGATGTCTTTGCAATGCTAAAGAAATTCAAAGAGAAAAAATGGCAGTATTGTCGGCGCTAAAATCGGCCGGCTTAAGCCGATTTTAAATTGAGATGTTGTGGGCGTGCCAGAACCAAATATATGGTTCAATTGTGAGTTGTCAACTTGCAGTCTCTTAAGGATGGTTGACTTCAGGCGATTATAGGAGAAAGAGAACAAATAAACTCCTTAATGAGTTCTACTTGTCTTAGTTAAAAGAACTTTGCAGTGAATAATTTATAGTAATAGTTTTAGAGAATATAAAAGGGAAGAAGTATATATAGAAAGAAATATAAGGAAAGAAAGATAGAGAAAGAGAGAAAGAGGGAGAGAAAAATATCGAGATATAGAGAGAGATAGAGATAGAAAAGAAGTAGCAAGGAAGCTATTCTAAGAAAGGCTTGAAAAAACAAACAAATAAATTAAAGGATGGGTGCTGGACCTCTAGTACAGCATGCCTCTTTATTTATTTATAGAGAAAATGGTAAAACAAATTCCTAGATACAAGCATTCTAGTTGTATTATAATACAACTAAATAATTATTCAAATTAAATTAATCCTAACTGAATACTAATTCTCAACTAAATTTAAATACAGGATAAATATATAACTCTTAGCTAATGTATTTAAAGTTCAAAAATTTGCTATCCTATCTGCAGTACCCTGCATGTAGCTTTGTGCTTGTATAAAATTTGCCATGTCATTCAAACCAAGTTCTATCTGCTGATCTTTCAAACATAATCCATGTAAAACCCAATCTTCCTCTTAATTGCATTAAGACTTATTCCAAACGAAGCCCAAGTTAATTGTTTAGTCCAAGTAGGCTAAAATATTTCATAACCCAAACTCATTACTGCATGTCTTCAGCCCAATATGTTTACGGCCCAAACTCATTATTGTGTCACTCTTCACCAAGCCTAACTGTAACCCAAACCCAATTACCAAAATGAGTGTTAACAAGTATCAACCAATAAATTTTTCTTTAAAAAAAATTGATTTTCAAGCCAAGAAAACCAAAAATGTTATTTTCGCATATTTGTTTGAAAAAATAAAATTAAAATAAGATAAGTATTATTTTTGTTGTATTAATGAAATAAAATTAGAATTGGAAGCACACAAAAATTAATAATTGAATACTTAAGTGATAATACCAACGGGCCGCGAGAAAAAAAAAAAATACATATTTTCAAACAAAGATGTAATTTGCATATTTGAAGGAAAAAGAAAAAAAGAAAACCCGGGTTGAATGAGTCAACCAGTCCAGCCAGAGAAAATTTGGGTTAGGGTTACTTGAAAGCCCATATTTAGGGACATCAGGCTAACCCAACCCAACCCAACCCAACCCAACCCCTGCCCAACTTGCAGGCAAACATAATTATGATTTTAAAATAATAAAATTAGAATTTATCATAAAATTGGAAGGAAAAAAAAATTAGAAATCAGTTTTCTTGTGTTAGGGCACACTCATTCCCTCACGTTTCAACAGAGAAAAGACAACACGTTCTAAGAGTCTTTCTGAATTGTGGCATGAGTAGAGAGCTCCAGAATTGTGTGGATATATATATATATGTGTGTGTGTGCGTGTAATGGAGTAGTAACAAAAATTTTAACTAGTCCATCTTCCTAAACAATTAAACAATTAAATACTGAGTAAATAAATGCATTAGAATAACCAACTTCGAAAATTCGCCAAACATCAATAATTAAACAATACATCAATACTGGGTAAAGAAATCCATTGGAATAACCAGAAGAAAATTCGCCAAACACTAAACCCCCAACATTGCAACAAACCGGATAGATCCAAAAAAACCCAAAAACAGAATTGCTACAATCAGAACCATCTACCGCGAGACCAATCCAGGAACTCTCCCCGACTCGTACTTTTGTTCTTCAAAATCACTGCCGCTGCTTCTCTATAAACCTTATCTTCTTCGTCCTGAAAAAAAATATCATCACCATTGCAGTCATCATCGCTTTTGCAGTCATCGTCAGTATTCTGGCTTATGCAGTCATCATCATCTTCATCTTCAACTTCATCTTCGCAGTCATCATTCCTTTTCCCTTTGGCAGCGTCTGATCCTCCCAAGAGTCGCGTCTTTCATCTCATACCCGGATGAAGGTAAACTTAATTGAGGCACGGACCACAACTTCATATGCACGTGTACCTGTTCGGTTTCATATAGCAAATCATCCTCTGCAATTTCCTTTTTCTTACTTGTGTCTATAAAGCTTTGTCTGTGAAATACTATTTTCCCTATTTCTTTCAAATCTGTAATAACTATGGTCCCAATCTTGGTACCACACAGATGATGATATTTTTTTCTTCCGAAAAGTTCGAGTATTCATTACATCTTCCAAGTGAAAAAGTTTCCCGATGGCCATGGTAGTATGAAATAACACACGTACCCTATATCCCCTGTCTATCGGTGGTACTTCTACTTCTTCTTCAAAAGCGAGAAAAACCAAGTAGTTAAATTTGAGGCCATACTCGACCTTCCACTTGAATACACATCCTTCAGGACTGTTGCGGCAGAAACAGAGAGAGGGAACCTTTAGATGTAGAGATTTTATTGTATTGAATCTCCTAACGAACCCACCAACGGCCGTCATGTCATCAATATCCTGAATTTCAAGTGTGGCCGAATTGATATGGGAAAGGAGGGAAGCGAATCGCTTGGAGACGGTGAGACAACGGACTAGTGACTTGCCATCCACCACTTTGCTGAGGATGCAATCTAGGACATGGTCTGGAAGACGATCAAAAAGGTCTTCTTCTACTTCGTTTTTGCGGTTTGCCATTTTCTCTCTTTTGAAAGCTAGGATACGGTCTGGAATACATTTTTTTACTTTGTTCTTGCGATTTGCCTTGCGATTTCCCATTGTTGCTATATTTCTTCAGAGAATTCTTGCACTAAATCATAGAGGAACAGACAAAAGATTGGTATGGGTTAACATATATACTTCATGAACTCTCTGCTTATAGAGAGACTGTGCAATTATATGGAAGTCCTAAATCCTAATAATAGTAGGAAAAGAAGATGAGTTTGAGTTGTTGCCTAATTGGGTTAAAGGCTGTTGTTGTCATGGCAATGCAACAAATTCGTACGATAACAACATTAGCAGCAAGCCAAAACATCAATTGAAGCAAAAAAAAATGATTCTCAATTGGAACTTAGAAAGAAAGAACCCTTCCTCCAAAATGCTAATGATAACTACATTAGCAGAACAGGAAGCCAAATCAAGCACATATAGAAGAGTGATGACATGTATGTTGTCTTCATAATTTTTCAAGAAGAGTGATGGGGTAACAAGCTCTTATCAAATGTTTAAGTGAACAATTAATAAAGAATGAACTAACTATGATAACAAATTCACATAACAATAATTTATATAATTAATTAATCACATTAATATCAATTAATAAACCAAGAAGAAGTGGCAGCCCGTAACCATCTTCCCTTTGTAGGTCCATAGCAAGAGTCATGGCCATGAAAATATATGGAATTAGTGACATTATCCATGAAATATAAATGTATAATATTGGACAATTTTTCAGTTCAAAAGGGGGAAAAATCCTTTTTTTTCTTATAATCTCAGCAGAAACTAACGACAACTTAATTGATTGAAATTATCACCTTACAGAGAGACCCTACAAATTTCTAGGGGAAATTGTAAAATAGTACCTGGGTTAGAGAGGGTTAGGGCTTATCCTCTATGCTTGAAGAAATAACTTCTGCGATTGAAGAAAAAAATTAGAAAATCGATGAGAGTTCAGAGAAGGAAGAAAGCAGAAGCATAGAGATCGATGGAAAGTTTAGAGAAGGAAGAAAGGAGAACAAGGCCAGTGTACCTGGGCGGTTTTCCTCTGAAGGTGAAACTTGCAAAAGACGAAGCTCCAAACAATCATCCTCTGTGATTGAGGTTAGGGTTTCGTTGATGGATTCAAGAGAGTGAGGGCTAGGTTTCGTTTGAGATTGATAGGAGTAATGAAAAAAAATCTTCACTAGCAGCTTATTGCTCGGTAAAGTTTGTGTTTATGTGTTGCTAATTTCTTATTTATATTTTCTATTTTTTGAAGTTTAGAAAATCATTGTGTGGTAAAGTTGATTTGTTTCTTGATTCAATTCACTGGTATGAATTTTTTCAAGCGTTTAAAAAATAATAATAATAAATAAATAAAAATAAAAATAAAAAATTAAAGAGAGAACAGGGAATAAGTTTAAAAAGTTTAGGAGAGATATAAATAAAATATTAGTAATAAACCCGTATAAATTTAATTAAGTTTGCATATTAGTTGGGAACAAATGGAAATAACTTTTTTTTTTTTTGTCTCATAAAAAGGGGCTTTTGGGGACATGTTTCCAAAAATAAAAAATAAGAATAAATTTACCAAACATGTTTATCAGACTTATATCTATTTTTTATCGTTTCAGAAGCAAGAAACATGAAATAGAAACATTGCCAAAAGATCCCTTAATTTTTCACTATATTTTTTTAAATTCTTGATAAATGTTTTTAGAGTTACAAACCAAGCAGATATTTTTGGTATTTGTTGCAACTTAAAAATCAAATATATTTTACCTGTAAAATAATTTCCTTCAAAACACCAAAAGTGACTTGTGTTGCCAACTTACTTAAGTTGTTTTCCTAACACTGTATGGAAGCAAATTCTTGTGTTGCGAAATTTTCTTATTCCTCTGATCTTCTCCATATTTTGAGATTGTCAAGAGCAAAGGTTTGATTCATTTTTGCTACAAGATTTTTGTCTCTGTTGGTTCTCTCATGGACATTGGGGCTTTAGTTGTGATTTTGATACCTATTTTTCTTGTTTGGCTTTCGATTTGGCAATGTTGGCTAAGAAATTATGCTCTCTCCATTTAAGTGAGATCTGAAAGTGAACCTTTGAATAGATTAGTTCTTTTTTAATCCACCAACTGTTTTGACAGAATGTATAATCTCAATCTAGTTATCTTTGTTTGTTGATTTTTGTAATCATTGAAGCCTTGGTCAAGCTTCGAAAAACTAAAATTATTTTCAGGAGTTGAGCCAAACGTGGGAAGATAGGAGAGAAAAAATTATTTTACAAATAAAAAAAAAACAAAAACAAAAACTCTTACAAACAAACTAAAATTTTAGTAAGCGCACTTATCTGATTAACATTAATAACTTCTCATAATTGCAAGTTCATCATGAATTTTCTTTTATAATTCCCTATTGTTTTTCTAATGTCTACCAAAGGATCAAGTGAGTAGTCAATATGTCAATCTTCCATCATTAACCTATGAAACTCCTCCATTTGATTTTCAGGCAATTCCAGGCAGATGTTAAGGCCTCCCTCACCTTTCTGCTCCGGCAACAAAAACACCAAACCAGGTTTAATCACAACAGTAGTGTCGCATTTGCTTCTTCCCCATACAAACTCATTTTGCTCTAACCCTAATCTCCACCAAGCCACCAGTGAAAAAGTGTTTTCCCTACAAGGCACTCCTTTATTCACCTCCAACCAATCTATGCTAGACCTCACATACTCGTCATCCAATCTCTCTATCCCTTCCTGCACTTTCTTCACAAAAACATAGTCCTCTTCCTCCTTCAGCTCCCTCACGCTTGCTCGCGCAAAGCCATTAATCAGTGCATTTCCGGCAAAACCAACCGGTGCTTGTGGCACTACCATTTTCCTAACATTGACCGGGAACAACATTGTTGAAGTCTTCTCGTCGTGCATTTCCATTGCAATGCTCCGCGCTTTCCATATTTTTGCAGCTACAACTTGGAAAGTGGTGCAGTTTTTAAGTCTCCCTTTCCTCAGGACAGCCTTCTTTAGGTTGGCAATGCGTTGCCGGGACAAATGGATGAGGTGAGTGTGACAATGCTGCAATGAAGATTGCTCAATTGTGGTGTCATGACAACGGGCAGTGTACAAGTCGTCTGTTTCTGTTGCTTTTGAGTACTCATAGTGAGGGTGATTGATTTCAGGGGGGTTTCGCGCTTTGAATATCATCCGGTCAGGGTTTGGCACGACAACCATTTCTTCACCTCGAGTGAGAGCAGCCATGTTAGACGCAAATTCGTGAATTGCTACCCCATCCATGATGCAGTGGTTGTATCTTGAAGCCATTGCTAAGCTTCCACATTTCAACTGTGTTAACTGCCATAAGATGACACTTTTAGTTTTGGTACCTAACTAAAGTTTTCACCACCAAGAATCTGAATTGAATGACAAGATCATGAAGCCTAGGCCATTTCAGTGTGTCAAATTTTGTCTAAATGTAATCTTGAAACATTGATTTGATCTTATAAACTTTAATCATCAAATTCATTAAAATGTAAGACCTATTTAAAAAAAAACAATTCTCAAGAATTTAGGGCATGCTTGATTTATCACTCAGAAAACAGTTTTGTGTTTTGAAAGTCAGGAAACTGTATAAAAACCTTGGTTAATTTTCTTAAAACAATTATAAAAAGGTCTGTTTCTGAATAACTATTTTTATAATTATCTAAAAACAATTTTATGAGTTTTTGAAAAATGTTCTCTGAGCGACAAATCAAGCAAGTTTCAGAAAACGAAAACTGTTTTCAAAAAACTATAAAAGATAGTTCTAAAAACAGATTTTGAGAACTGTTTTCAAAAAATTGAACCAAACAAACCCGTATGTGATTGGACTACCATGAATTACCTGGAGAAACAAAAGTGGCATGTGTGTTATCTCCATCTGTTCTTCACCCTTTTCATGCAAGCAAGCAACGAATTGCTTAAACTCTGGCTTTGATGCCGTAAGATTGCCAAGCTGCCTCAACTCGGTCTCGGTTGTTGCTGCTGCAACCACAACACCAGCACCATTACAATCAATCTCTAGTCTGCGGCTGTCTTCCATAGATGGCACGAGCCGGCCTGCAAAAAAGTCATAGTCCACAAACAACCGACCAAGCGCGCAGTAAAAGTATTTACAAGCTTGACTAAAGCTCATTTGTGGAGGATCAAAGAAAGACACTGATTCTTGGTAAGCAACAAGGCCAAGGTCTATGTTCGATAAGAAAATTCGCCTTTTTTCCGTAAGCTTCTCAGGAACAATGACAACTTTCTCAACTAACTTCACCTTTTCCATTATGTATTCAGATTTCTTATCTACATTAGAGAAAAAGCCAAGTATGAACTCTAGTTCTTTGAAGTTGTTTTCATGGTTTGATACTGTGTGCTTTTATATAGGTGCAAAATTCATGTGGCACTTGGTGTTGGTCTTTTAAATGAAAATGGTGGTTTCAAAAGCACAAGTTAATGTTGTTTGACATTTATTATTTGATAGAATGGCTTTTACTGATGAAAGAAACTGAAATTTGATTTAATAAAGCTCTATAAATATATACCAAGGATGGTAACATTACTTTTGGAATTAATTGTCCCTTTTTTTGATGGTGTGAACTTTTATCACAACCAAACAACTCCTTTCGTATCCATAATACCTCTGTACAGAATTTTAAACTTTCATGTATAGGAAAGGAAAATGATATTCAAACCTAGTAGTTAGGTGTTACAAGTGTCTCATATCTAAATGGGTGTATATATAGGTTGGGTGTTAACTCCATCTAACAGCTTAAACTTTTGAGTCGGATCGCGAAGCATCCGGCCCATTACAATTGGTATCAGTGCCAAACCCAATTCTTGATCGAATGTACGCCAAGTGCCTAGCCTGGAAGTGTCTGTATCCCTACCCCGGGAAAAGTTACCCAACCGCAACGAGGGCGTTGTGAGATCGGGTGGGAGAGAATGACTACCATTAATGGCGTTGCGAGATCGGATCTGAGAGAATGACTACCATTAATGGCGTCAAGGGGTGTACTCAAAAAAATGTTGTTGATCCCCAACCCGTCCAATTTGCACTACCAATGTTCAACTTTGTTTTTCATTTAACAATTTTTTCAACCAAATGAATTTTGGAATCCTTTTTTCCTATCCATCATAATATAAAAATAATTTTTTTAAAAAATGAACATTGTTCTTATGGGATTTACAATTGAATAGTTTTGACCAAATGAGCGGGCGTTTTTTGTTAGTCATCGTTTTTCTTTTTATCTCCACCATGTAAAACTTTTCATGTAAAATGTTTTTATTTTTTTTTATTTTCCGGGGATTATACAAGATCCTGAAAATATTTTCCAAATTTTTTCGGAAAATGATTTTTTAAGGAAAAAAAAAAAAAAAAAACCCCTCCCTCTACAAGAGTAAAATGACCCAAAGAACTGGCCAAGACCTTTGTGCGGCCTGTGGCTGAGGCAAAGTTTACACATCAGTTTCAATTTTTTCTTTCCCCAATAAATGAGTGTATATTATTATAGTATATACCCACTCAAAGAAGATCCAGCAATACAATGAAAAAAAAGAAAAAAAAAAAAAACATTCATATAGAAAATAGAACTAAAAAACATCCATGCACCCACCAAGAAAGAGGCTCAACAGTCTTAAACAACAGAAGATAAACTGAAAACATTACGTAAGAAGATAGATAAGTGAACCAATACCAAACAGAAAATCCCTCTAGCTAGCTGAGCAGCAGGCTTCAGACCTCCAATATGCATTCTACAATTCCTTCACAAATCTAAGGAAGAATCATAGTTCCTGCACCTTGCGCGGTGTCAACCATTCCACCACGGCTTGCACGCACCTGCTCTGGATAACCAACTCATGCCGTGACTGCCGTCGTCAATCCAGTAACCAAGAAACTAGACCTTATGCAAAGCATGCACCTTTTTCACATAGAGCTGATTTTCCCTTATGATCTGGAATTGGTCATAGTCTGCCATCAGTCCATATACCCCGAATGGTTGCAGTGAACAAGTTCTTACTGACTTTAGTTCTCTCTCTCACCATCTAATGTGCTTCCTTTTGAAACTTTTTAAGCCAAAGCTTTCGAAGCCTGTCATTCTTGACAAGAAATGCCTTAGAAAGCATTTCATGCTGCACCAAATAATCAAATGCTGTGGCAAGAAACTCCTCATCAAAACCACCCGTCTTCATCACCTCTTGATATAGCTTGTTAATATCGAATCCATTGTCAGTCAACTTACTAAGTGCAGCAGCTACCTCTCCAAGTTTTGCCGAAATGCTTTCAAGTAGATCTGTCTCATAGGAGGTGCGACTTCTCTTGCCATGTTGTCTTGATTGGGATGGCGTTGTACTTGATGAGCTCACCCTTTTTCCAATATCTTCATCCATTGATGCTTCTTCAGTACCAAGGCTATCATCTAAAGGCACCAACTCAACCACCGGTCTAGCTTCCAAATTTACGTTAGCTAATGATTTAGCAAAATTTCCTTTTGTTTTATCCTTACCGACAACTAGAGAGATTTCATCATACATTTCGATCTTTTTGTTGAGGTACTTTTCATGACTAGGATTAAGCTGTTATAGAATTAAAAGAGAGATTAAAATTCAAAAACTATAAACGCTCAATATTCATTAAAATAACAACACTGATCATGGAAAAGAACATACCTGAATATGTTCATCATATGCGGTTGGACTAGCTACTACCATCTTCACGTTCTCATCCCATCCAAATTCTGATTTTTCACGAAGTTGCTCTATCGTCGACCATACATTTTTTACGGTTCTAAGACGGTGTTCTACATGATCGGATGAGCATTCAACTCCATAATGCTCTGCTACTGCATTTGCTACGCGATTAAACGAAGTAACTTTAAACCTATTATTAGGTCTATTCCCTCTATTCACCTCATCGGCAAGAATATTCAATAGCATTCTCTCCATTGGTTTTGTCCACCTAAACTGCTTCGAACCTTCTCCTTTTTTTCCCATATCTGTCAATATAAGACAACAAATACAATCATACATTAAGGCTCAAACAAACAAACAAAAAATGCAAACTTAAGTGGTCTCCTTGAGAGATAATGTAGTGTTATAACTAATAATTGTCAGAAAGAAACATCATTTACATGCTAACCAAACAGAGAAAACATTCATGTACCTGAATGAGAGAAAATATGTAGAGCACAAGGACAGACGCGAACAAAAAAGGCCCAACCAAGCTGAAGTCCTTGCCTCTCTCCAGAATGTGTTTGAGGGTTAAGCTAACAACCATAACAGCTGTTAGAATCCCAGCCTCCAAAACTATTTTCCCTTTTGGCAATAATCCACAAGCAAAAAAAGGGAAAAGGATCAACTTGCTGAATTCAATAAACAAATTTCCGTGAGAAGCACAAAATAAGAAAATAATAATACCAAAGATTATCACGATCGGTCTAATATTTTCTACAAGTACTCAACCATCCCATAGAACAACTGCCAGTCTACCTTTCATGCCACATGCATTAGAACACAAACTGTTAAAACACACACTGCAACTATCTATTTACTTAGTCTGTGCTGGGAAGATCAGATTCTGGGCCTCCTGCCACTGGATATACATATTTCTTCTAAAACTTGTACCAACATTGTAATAACAATCATCTCATTTGAACAGGTGAATCAATCACAATGCTCGGAAGCCTAGAAGTCAGGATCAAACAAGGAGGCTAATGTTGATAAATTAGGATTAATAATTTAGCACTTATGATTTGTGTTTTGAGAATCAAAGAAGCCTAGCCATAATAGAAATTGCAATTTGATTTTAAGCATACAATGTGTCAGTAACGCGAGGATCTTTATTTGAACTACACATGTTCATGTTATTCTGGTGGAAGAAAGCTTATTTGGGCAGAATCATTGATCTAGTTGATACATGTTAAAATAGTAGGAGATCGTACAAGTATACGTTTATTAAGACTTACCCATACAAATTAATCTGAATATATTTAGAGGGAATTAAGAGTTTATTGAAAATCGAAGAGGGGTGTCATTTGCCAATAGGAGTCCCGGCGGTGTTCATTTAATCTGATATGTTTGAAGCTTTTCTAAAAATAAGCTCTTATATATTGAAATTTTCATTGAAAGATTATTTGAGTTTTTAAATATCTCAAAAACTGTTTCAATTGGTTAATAAAAAAGCTCATACTCTCTTGATATATGGTTATTAGACTAACATGGTTAGGCGTATAGAGAAAAACAAATGAGATAGATGTCCGACGAAAAGGATATGAAAAGTTCAGAAACTCGGTGAACAAAAATAGAAGGAGAAATGAATAATGAGAAATGATCATGGGATTCTATTAGGAAAAAGAGATGCAACAAAGATCATGTCTGAAGAATACAAAATCTCTTATTAGTTCTTACTTGAAAGTAAAGGAATTATTTAGATCATACGATAAGAAAGTCTTTCCTATGGTAAAAACTAGAAAACATCACGTTGCTTCAATATATATACTTTGGAGTTCAAGAAATAACAAAAAGGATTTTACAACATTAATTGTTCACATAAGCCATATCTAGCACAGTTTAAAGTATAGCAAGCAGGTAAACAAAGCTAAAACACAACAAAAAACAGGAGCTACATCTGGTTGTAAAGCAAAATATGTAAAAGCCAATTCCACAAGATAATAAATACCCACCAAATAACACATCCTAGACATGCCAACAATCACACAGGATCAATTGAAACAAGCCCAAAAAAATAATAATAATAAAATAAAATAAAAATTATATCTGGTTGATGAGCATTGGTGGGTAATTTGTTAGATATAAATATACAAATACGTGTGTGTATGCATTTAGTAAAAATAGTGCTTGTGTTAAAAGTCAGCTCATAGTCATATGATAGAAATGATTAAAGATCAATTCAGCCCATTATCATATGATATAAATGATTAAAGATACAAAGTAAATTCTGATTTGGGTTTTAATCATTGAAATCATTTCCATACATACTTATTAAAATATAAACATCAAACATACAGTCAATGGAAAGCCCAAAATATACACAAAAGCACATATTAATATACAAATATACGTAACATATTAATATACAAAAATACATTACATACATACATATGTATAGAGACAGATATTAGAAACTGCTACCCGAAACAGAAGAGAGAACAGAGGGGCAAAGACTCAGAGACTGAATTGGACTGTAGTATCCAGAATCCCAATGGATGAAAATCTGGACACCACCAACGAATCTGAATGCGATTTTGAATGGAATCGAAAAGTTCAAAAGCTAAAAAGAGAGACCATATATATATATGCAGATATATACATGTATATAGAGCTAATACCTTCTAGAGTTCTTCAAGAGTTTGAATGAAATCGAGGGATCAATACGTTCGATGGTCTAGGGTTTCACGGTGGAGAGAGATAGAGAGAAGGGGGAGGGTAAGTCACGGTGACGATGTGTTTGGAGAGCGTAAAATGACTTACCGTGATTAGAGTGGTAAGTCATTTTTCTGAAAAATTCGTACAAGATTTTCCTAAGTAAAATATTTTACATATTATTTTGACAATAAAAAATAATAACTGTTTAAAAATATTTTACGTCAAAACAATAAATTCAATATTTTTTTAAAAACCAAACATAAATTCAAAACAAAATAGAAAATAGGGTGAACTATACTAAACCCTCCTTTTTCTTTTCTATCTGTGTTTTTTATTAAACTCCCATGTTCTATTTTTTTTGTCAAAAAACCCCCTTTAACCATTAGAGGGGTTGATTTAACTAATTTTGCTTAACTAACTATTAGAGGGGGTTGATTTAATTCTCAAATATATATATATATATCTAGTAAATAAATTTCAAGAAAAAAAAAAACCTAGATTTATATTGGGAAAAAAAATTAGGCATTATTTTTGGTAGTGTCCCTTTAATAAATCTATATAAAATAAAAATCAATAAAAACTAAATAAATGAATGCACAATATAATTCTGAAATATATATATATATATATATATATATATATATATAGCAAATAAATTTCAAGGAAAAAAAACCTAGATTTATATTGGAAAAAAACCATTGCAACAACATGTACTCTTCTTCTTGTTCAACTTCTTTTATTTACCCATCATTATAATATTATATATAATTTGTATCATAATATAATGGTATATATAATATGTATCATTAAATATTATTTAAATATATTTTCATTTTCATCTAGCCTTCAGACCAATATAAATCTAGGTTTTTTTTTTTTATTTAGGAAAAAAATCTAGGTTTTTTTTTCTTGAAATTTATTTGCTATATATATATATATATATATTTGAGATTTATATTATGCATTCATTTATTTGGTTTTTATTTATTTTCATTTTATATAGATTTATTAAAGGGACACTACCAAAATAATGCCTAATTTTTTTTTTCAAATATAAATCTAGGTTTTTTTTTCTTGAAATTTATTTTCTATATATATATTTGAGAATTAAATCACCTCCGTTTAATAGTTAGTTAATAGACATTAGTTAAATCACCCCCTCTAATAATTGCGAGGTTTTTTTTGACAAAAAAAAATATAAAATGAGAGTTTAGTGAAAAATACAAATAAAAAAAAAGAGTTTATTGTAGTTCACCCTAGAAAATATTTTGAATTTCTTATGAAATTTGAACAAGGGGTCCAAGATTGAACCTTTTTGCACAATTTTTTCAAGAGATCCCAAAATTAAATGAGCCAACTCAATAAGTCAATAGTAGTAATCTCTCTCATCCCTTCTCTCTTTGACAAACAAACTAATGTGTTACATCCTCCTTCCCTTCTCTTTCATCTAATCCGAACAAAAATGAAACTTATTATTTCAATTCTACACTTAAATTCTTCAACTTATTATTTTCTATAATTTTGAAAAATTTTCAAAAGTAATTTTTTTTTCCAAAGATTTTTTTATGGCACTTTTGCTAGTATTTTTAAAAGTATAAAGAGTTTCAATATTTCAGTACATTAATTTATTTAATAATATATTAGTAGGAAATACGGAAATTCAATAAAAGGAAATCTAATAAGAGATATATACAATATTAAAAAATTAAGCCATTGAAATTCAATAAAAGAAAATCTAATTAGAGAAGGAAATTTTAATACTAAAAAACTTATTTATTTAATTCAATAGAAGAAAATATATAGATATAGATAAATCTAATTTGAGAAGGAATTATATAATATTAAAAATTAAACTACTTAAATTCAATAAAAGGAAAGCTAATCCGACAAGAAAATATATAACATTAAAAAAAACTTATTTATTTAATTCAATAAAAGAAAATCTAATTAGAGAAGGAAATACTAATAATAATAATATAGTAGTAGGAAATACTGAAATTCAATAAATGAAAATCCAATTAGAGAATGAAATATATAATATTAAAAAAATTATTTAATAATATACTAGTCTAAAATAATAATAATAACAATAATAATAATAATAATAGTAGTAGTAGTAGAAGAAGAAGTAGGAAATCTAATTAGAGATGAAAATATATAATATTTAAAAACTGAATTATTGAAATTTCAATAAAAGAAAATTTAATTAGTGAATAAAATATATAATATTGAATATTTACAATTATACACACACTTTTACTCACATCGTAAGTGAGTTTCACTAGTATTATTAAAAGTACAAAAAAATCACATTATTGAATTTCAATATTTCAGTGCATTAATTTATTTTAATAATATTTTATATATTTTTTAAATAAGTTTTTATTATTATATATCCTGTTAGATTTTCTTTTCAATCAAACTTTTTCTATTCCTTTTTTACTCTCTCCCTTTTCTATTCATTTTTTACCCTCTCAACTACTCATAAGAATTCTAATTCTCAACCCTAAAATTACTTTTTCCACAATTCTAATAAAGAAATAATCAAACTTTTAGTAATTAATTTTTCAATTAGCCATTAGGGTTTGCCGCTAAGTACAATCAGGTATCGTTCTGTTGTAGTCATTGTTAGAGTTGCACTACACAATCAACCGAATTTGATTCCAGTTGTTGTGGAGGAAACGCAAAATAACAACGCATGTTGTTCAAGGAATAATCAAGCAATCACAAAGAAAAAGAAAAAATCACACACAAGAACACAAGATATACATGGTTCACCCAAATCTTAGGGCTACGTTCATGGAGCACACCGAACAAATTCACTATGAAAAAGATGAAGAATTATAAAGAGAATTTTCTCTCAATCTCTCTCAATTGTTCTCTCTTGTATTGGCACAAAATTTTCTCTAACTTTCTCACCCTATTTATAGAGTCCCCAAACTTGTCCTACAAGAATTTGTCTTTTGTAGAATCCAAAACCAATAAGGAAGTTAAATCAGATTAGGAAACTGAATTTTCCTTAAACCAATAAGGAAGTCAAATCAGATTAGGAAACTGGATTTTCCCTAACAGATTTGGAAACTGAATTTTTCCTAAAATTCAGTACTCTTGAAGTTTCCACATAATTAAATCTTCCTAAAAATATTCCACCTAATCAGACTCCACAAAACCACAACAATCTCCCACTTAGAGTCTGGAGCACTTGTAAACCCATTCCATCTTCTTCTCATGCATGTCCCATACATGTCGGTGCACTTCTTTTCGTCTTCAAGCTAGAAGACCAACTGAAGTTGTGCATAACTTTAGTTTCTCCATGGTCACTGTCTTAGTCAACATGTTAACCGGATTCTTGGTGCCAAGTATTTTCTCAAGTGTCAACACCCTATCTTCTAACAAAGATCTGATAAAGTGATACCGAAGTCCTATATGCTTGGTCCTTGAATGAAATGCTGAATTCTTTGCCAGATGTATCGTACTCTGACTATCACTGTGCAAAACATTCTTCACCTATTCGAATCCCAACTCTGTTAACAAACATTGTAACCAAATCATCTCCTTACTGGCCTCTGTCATCGCCACATACTCTGCCTCTATAGTAGATAACGCTACAATCCTCTGTATTTGCGAAACCCAATTAACTGCAGTTGTACCCACCATGAACACATACCCGGTAGTACTTCTTTTGTGATTCACCTCACCAGCAAAGTCTGAATCTACATAACTATGTAGCTTCACTTTACCCCTTCTGAAACATAAACATCTGTCTGTGGTACCCCGTAGATATCTCAATATCCACTTTACTGCTTCCCAGTGTAGCTTGCCCGGATCCTTCATGAATCTGCTTACTGCTCCCACTGCATATGCAATGTTTGGTCTTGTGCACACCATGTCATACATCAAACTTCCAATGGCTAAGGCATATGGAATTTTAGCCATAAAGTTTTTCTCATCTTCTGTCTTCGGATACTGATCTTGAGATAATCAGAAGTGATTAGCTAAAGGAATACTCACCGCCTTAGCATTATTCATGTTGAACCTCTTCTGAACCCGTTCAACGTACTCAGCCTGAGGCAAAGTACTTTTCTGTTTGTCTCTGCTAATCTTCATCCCAAGAATTTGCTTCGCTGCACCAAGATCCTTCATCTCGAATTCACTAGACAACTGCTTCTTCAATTTGCTGATTTCTTCAAAATCAGAACCTGCCACTTACATGTCATCAACATAAAGTAGAAGGATAATGAAACTTGACTTGAACCTGTTAAAGTAACAGCAATGGTCAGCGTTGCACTTGTTGTAGCCATGTCGCTTCATAAAACCATCAAACTTCTTGTACCACTGCCTCGGGGATTGCTTCAAACCATATAAGCTTTTCTTCAACTTGCACACTAGTTTCTCTTTCCCTTTGATTGAGAAACCCTCCGGTTGTTGCATGTAAATCTCCTCCTCAAGGTCACCATGGAGGAAAGCAGTTTTGACATCTAACTGCTCAAGGTGCAACCCTTCTGCTGCAACAATGCTAAGAACTGAGCGAATGGTACTTAGTTTCACAACTGGGGAAAAAATGTCTGTGTAGTCAATGCCTTGCTTTTGCTGAAAGCCTTTGACCACTAATCTTGCCTTGTATCTCTTGGAACCATCGTGTTCCTCTTTTACCCTGTACACCCATTTGTTGTGAAGAGCTTTCTTCCCCATGGGCAACTTGGCTAGTTCCCATGTTTTATTGGAGATAAGGGACTTCATCTCATCTTCTATTACAAGCTCCCACTTGCTAGCATTTTCAACTTGACATACTTCATCATAGCATTCAGGTTCACCATCATCTGTGAGCAACATATAATCCAAATATTTCCTATTCGGTACATGAGGTCACGTAGACCTTTTAGGTGCAGGCATAGGAGATAGAATCCGCGGTGAACTATGCTCTGTGAGTTCTGGCCAAGAATCTTCATCTGTCTACTCTGCATCAATGCTCTCTGGATTATCAGCCAACTCAACAAACTCAGGTTTACTCTGTACAGGACTAGTTAACTGTGCTGTATCTCTATCCCTGTACATCACCTTCTCGTTGAAAATCACATCTCTAATTCTGATGATTTTCTTGTTCTGATTATCCCA